AAATCTGGGTTTAGTAATTTTCTGTAGTCTGTTCTGCATTTGGTATTTTAAAGCTTTTCTTCTACCTGCTTGTTGGTAAATGTGTATTCTGGAATGACAAGAGCTATCATACTCAATTGTTATGAAGTTAAATTATTGGAGCATCAACATAGTGGGTGGGATAAAACAATATTTAGGATATTCCAAATTGAAAGAAACAGTTACTTAAGGACTTCAAGGATTGCATTGCAGTGCTGTTAAACAGTGGTTTCTATACTTGGAGTGGTTACTATACTTAAAATCTGGTTTGATATCTCTAAAGGAATCCTGATGAAAAAACAGATAAGGGAGTGAGGGCAAAAAAATCCCCCTGCTTTCCAGGCTGCTTTTCCTGCTGTTGAAAATGTGTACGCTGCCTCTCTGCCTCCTTTTTTGCCCCTTGCCCTTTTAGCTGGCTATTAGTTAGAATTACTGTTCTAAAGGATGCTACTGCCTTTGAGGAAGACTACATGGCACCAATATTATCAACATTAATGTGAAGTTTTGCTAAAAATACACTGCAGAGAACTCTCATACTGTGTGCGTTACCATAAAATCTGAGTGCCTACTAGGAGCACATCAGGAAATTCAATTTACATTTGGGCTATTGTTAAACTGTCTTTTTCTATTCAACAGATAGGTCTCTGTGTTGAAGTATTTTGCTCTGCCATTAAAAGCTATATGCATATAAATGCATTAAAGAAACCAGACCAAACCAGTTTGGCTTTCACTTAAGTGAAAGGTGATTTGTGCTGGCCTTGAATTCAGGAGAAGGGGGCCTCAATCTAATCTGGAGAGTTGTTCTAAGAAGAATTTGGCTTCTGCATAATGAACTTTATCTTCATTGTAGAAAGCTGACAATGTGTGAAGCTGTTGATCTTTCTTCATTTCAAAGCTGTAATTGATGGCCAGATAATAAGAGTCAATTCAGGGTAATAAGAGAGTCAAAGATAAATACTGAGTTGTGGAGCTTGATTCCATATTTAGTGGAAAAGAAAAATAGTCTGATCTGTCAACCCTTTGTGTTTGGATCTGCAATGCTGTTCTGTGTAGTCTACCAGTGTTCAAGATAGAGGTTGTGGTACAAGAGTATCACAAAATATGCAGTTTTAGAAGGTGAATAATTGCAGCTGCAACTCTCTGCTAAACTTTTTCTCCTAAAGTATCAATTTCATTGAGGCCTGAGCAAGTACTTGGTTTAATAAGTGGATCATTTGCCAGTGTTCATGTATTTGGGGGTGTAGAGCCTTGGGTTGGGATACAAGGGTAGTTGCACTTCACTGTTTTTTGGTCACTGGTCCTGAAGTGTTCTGACTGCCATGGAGAATCCTCTGGAGCTTTACATCTGTTTTGCTAAGGTAGAGTGCTGTGTAATAGATTATATCAAATGCCATGAAAAAGCTTGCAGATTGCTTCTCTCACTTAGAACTTTGACTTTTGACATACCCCATTGCCTAAGAAATTCTCAGAGGAATTTGGAGGTTTTTGTCCAAAAAACTTCCTTTTAAAAACGTCCTTTTCAGGACAAGGTATCTGTATATATATTGTGCTGGACCACTTCATATATATTACATTAGTTTTTAGAGAAAAGGCTGTCTATCAGTCTGATAAAATAGGAAAATGTTGGTAATTTAAAAAAAAAAAAAAAAACATAAAAAAAACCTATCAGAAGAAGCATTCAGAATCTGTAGTGGTTACAAGAAATAAAGAATGTAGTTTTTTAGGACTCTTCCATGAGTTTCAGGTGGCCCTTCAGGTTTTCTTTGGAAGATAGTACAAATTGGAATGGCAGTGGGTGGTAGCAATGGCACCTTTCCTTCAGCATCATGGTAAATATGCTGTAAGTACTTGTGTAATGTGTTTGGATCTCCCTTGAGTTAATGAATTGGCTTTCAGGTGTAGGAAGGTGTAGGACATTAGTTCAAATAAGAAGTCTGGGTATATTTTCAGGACTGTAAGTTATGTCAGTCTTGTTGATAGCAAGACATTGTGTGAGCAGGAGAGTTTATAAAGTCTAATGCTTAAAAAAAGTTATATGTCACTTAAATTTAATATGTAATTTTTGTAATTTAAAAAAGAATTGTCCCTCACATGAAAGTTGTCCCTCACATTTTAAAATTGCCAGTACCTTTAAAACTGCCTTTTTAAAAATCTTTAAAAGTAGGTAACTTGTGCTGAGAACTGAAGGTACAGAGCTGCTTGTTCTTGATAAAACAGCTGTGTGTTTGGAAGTGGATGGTATATTTAAATTACAACATGAATGAGGAAGGCAGTTCTTGGGATCCTTCCTGGGATTTCTCTCTGAGAAAAGAAGGTTTGAGTCCAGCTTTTCTGTCTTGTCCTTTAAATCACAAAGATAGCAGAGTGCGTGTTGCTTTTCGGTTTTGAATATTTAACAATAACAAAACCCAAACCAAAATAAACCCCCTAACATAATAGCAAAAAACCACTTCAGCAGAAGCAGTGAAGAGAATGCAGTGCATTCATTAGTGTGTGTAGGCTCCAAAATTTGAGCAGAAAAAGAAAGTGTTGTATTTTATCTGTGCTGTGGGTTGTCCCTTTGCGTGCTACATCACCATTCTGACTGGTGAGTTAACCCAGGGGTGGTGATCTCTTTAGTGCATTAGTATCTAAACACAGCACATGAGACCTGTGGTAATTCAGATGAGCCTTAGCTATCCACAGTGATTATTGGTCTCCCACATTTCATAAAATAAACAATGGTATGGTAGTATCTATTTCTGTAATGTACACATGGTTTTGTAATTGCTGGAGTTACATCAGTAATTTTAAGTGATCACTGAACTTTTGCAGGCAGTAACTATCAAATAGGCTAATAAATCAAAATATTGCTAGACCTGCTGCATTAAATGGTTTACTTTGCTAAAGTAAAACGCTTTTTTTTCAGTGACATACACTTAGAAACTTCTATTGTTATAAAGCAAAATAGTAATAATTTAAACTTTTCTGACAAATCTGTTGTTATTAATTCCTTACGCTTTTTCAGAGCAATACTTTCCCATTAAGGTATGGATTATATCCATACATACTGGGGAAGATATCTGTTAAAAACATATATCTATTAAAAACAATATATCCTTACTGCACAGTCCATTAATGTCAGAAATATTTTTTATGCATATAAGTGTTCAATTGGTTGTAGAAATTCTTGAAAGCAGTACACAAGCACAGTTTAGGGAGCAAGAGTTTAAAGAGGATTCCTGATTGTTCTGCACTCAACATGCATGTATATACACAAACAGTTTTAAACCCAGGGAGTTTACAATCCAAAGGATGTAGAAATTTGAGAATTTTTTACTAGGCAAGTTCAGTAGTAGCATTGCAGCTGCAGTTTCAAACTGTGTCATTCCCCTGCCTTGCTGGAGAAGAGTCTCCAGCTCTATGTAAGACTGCACTTGGGTGTACTAACAAAATGTGGTGTCTCCAACCTGCCACTCATAGTTTGATTTTTCAAAAGATTCTGCCACAAACATTTCCTGAATGTTTCCTTCCCAGCTGTTTATGTCTTGGTGTGATTTTCTTCCATTGGAGGAGGTGTGTTAGCAGTTCCCTTGGTAAAGGAGCTTGCTACACCTCACTTCTATCATCTGCCTTCCTACAGGAGCAAGGGCAACTGGAATTAGGCAAATAGCAGAAGCAGTGCTTTCCCTGCCAGAGGGGTTAGCTCTATGCCCAGGAGCGGCCAAAATGTCAGAAAGGTCTGTCTAGGGCTTGGATGCGGAAGATTTTGAGATACCCAGGAGTCCCATAGGAAAGTATCATTTGACTTATTAATAGCAAGGGGGAAGCTACATTGATGCATTTGTTAGAATGCTAAAGTGATGGGTTGAGGTTTATAGCAGCAGTTAAACTTTGAAAACTAATTTTCACAAAAACAAAGTTTCAAAAACTTTTTTTCATGGCACTGTTCTTTGGTGAACTGCTGTGTTGTCCTTTGGGACTGAAAAGCACCAGCTTGTTGTGTCTTAGTTGGAAAAAAATGAGGCTATTTTACTATGTGGTACTTGAAGGATTTGCTATTACAATAGTGCATTAAGACTTCAACATGAAATATCTTATTTAAAATAAAGCAACTGAAATACTTCCAATTGAAGATAAACTGAATGTTCAAGTAGATGAAAAGGTAAAAAACACAGAATGCAGTTTGTGTAAATACAAAAGACTTATTTGTCTACATCATCTTTCAGACTCATTAAACAGCCATAAGTGATTTAAATACAAATTAAGAAGCTGCACATCATGTTGCAGCTTACTCATGTAGGCTGAGCTCATCAGAAACTCCTTTTGTTCCTCCATTTCCTTCCACCTTACTTTCCCTGCAGATGCCAGCAGCACTGCTTTACTCCATTTACAGGGCTCTGTTGAAGCCATCACCTCTGCAAGGATCTCTGTTATTCCGGGTTCCTTTTTCATTGCTGATCCTGCTCCTTTTTTCTCTGACCTTTGGACCTCCATGTAACACTGCATTCCTGTGCATGGGATGAGGATTGCAACCTACCTTCTGATTTTCCATTTTTCCTCCTGTAATTCCTGCTTGTTGATCTTTGACACTGACAGTCTAGCATTTAAAAAATACAGAAAACAAGAGCACTGCAGAATATATTGCAGAACTGGGAGGTTTTATGCTGGAAACCACTTTGTTCCTGTCAGCTAGTTTTTAATCTATAAATAATTGCCGGGTTGGCGTATTGCATACTGCAGGCTCTCTGTCTCTTCCATGCCTCTAACAGGTTCTCATTTTCAACCAGAATTGACAAAGCTATTCTGATATGCAGAACTCGCCACAACATTTTTGTAATTCCTTGAGTGCTTTGGCTATTAGGTAACAGGTGGTGTGTCATTGTCAAGTTGAGGGTACAAATCCTTCGTTTGCGTAGGCCAGTGGTATGCTTGGCTTGTTTGTGAAATGTTCCACTACAAATATTGGGAAATATAATGAATTTATATATGTATTTTTTTAGGAGCAATGGATGAACTTCATAGCCTGGACCCAAGAAGACAAGAATTGTTAGAGGCAAGATTCACGGGAGTAGTAAGTGGCAGCACTGGGAGTACTGGAAGTTGCAGTGTTGGAGCTAAAGTAAGTCCTAAGAGCAGTCATTCAGATCTGCCATTTTGAAATACTAATTTATCTCAGACCATCTAATTTTCATACTGTTAATGTGATTTACTTGTAAAAGCAGTGGCTTGGAAGAGGGTCTCAGAAAAATCCCTCTTGTCTGTTATTTTGCTTTGAGATAGGATTGTTTATCTTGAACCTTTCTGTGACATGGATGTTGAATTGTTCTTAAAAACACCGAAGAATGAGCTTATACGGGCTCTTTAGTGGCTTTCCTGTGATCAGAGATGAAAGATTTTCACATTATTTAGGTGGAGTTGTCTCTGCTGCAGATGACCATCTACTTACAGAGTAGTAGTGTGTGACATCTGTTTTAATATTAAATATTTTGAAGATTAGTACATATAGATAAAAAAAAAAATTTCAACATTTCTAGACATTATATCAGTTTCTCTTACTTTCATTCTAGAATTCCTGTCTTTTAATATCTAAGCCAGGATGCAGCACTTTAGGAAGAACCTTATAAACACTGAATAATTACTTTCCATATGTTGTATATTTTCTTTCAGTTAATACATCTGCAAAATAATTTTGTCTTTGTTGCATATTCTGTTCAAGTTACTAACTTCAGCTTCCAAAACTGATTGCTGCAATACTGTTGCCTAGCCAGAGGTACTCCATTTTGTTTTTGTGCATTGGAATGTTCTCCGTCAAGTATAGTACTTAATAGACAGACATTAAAAAGGTGTCATACTAATGTTTTAGGTGCATTTCCCTCATGACTAAATTACTTCTGAATTCTGTTTCCAAACTGTTTGCAGTGCCATCATGTTTTAAGTGCTTTACACAAACTTGTAGCATTTTTAGCTTCCTATGCTGTGTTTTAGTTACCAGTATAGATTACAGAACCAAATACTTCTTGATAGAAGACATTGTTGGAATTTCTGAAGACATGTCATGTATCAATGGCTATGAACAAACTACACAGAATTGAAATTATTATATAGTGATCTTGCATCATAATTTGCTTTGGAGAGTGACGTGAAGGCAAATGTCACAAAACTGTAAAAAGATCACAAACTTGTTACTGTCATTTAAAACAAGAAATTAGTTAAATAGTCAGGGGAAGAAATGAGGTTGGATTGACACAGTGACATTGATGCACTGTCTAATTGTCTTCTCATTATAATTGCAAAATTGTATATTTGCCATATCATGCTTAAAATTAGAAAGAGACAAACACAATGATTCTGGCCCGTTTTGTTTATTTATTCCTTGGATTCTCTAGTACTGCTTACTCCCCTAATTAATTAACTCATTTTAATAGCTCAGGTAGTTGCTCATAGTTCACATTACTATTTGTCCTTTTTTATTACTAAATCTGTACTTCTAACTTCATTGAACTTTTACTTTTTGATACAGCTGTTTCGGTCCATTGCTTTGTTGCAAATTTTCCCTCATAATCTGTCTGCTGCTGTATGTGTAATACATTTTTTTTAAAGGCATTGTCGGGTTTCTTGGGGTTCCTCCTCTTTAAAATTTGATTCCCTGTGAGTCACTGCTTACCATTTACATAAATCTATTGAAGTCTTTTTCTTGTTGTCTGTTGTTCAGCTGATTTCAGCTGTTAGCCAAATTACATTCCACTTTCACATTTTCAGTTTGTTCATCCAAGTTAGCCAGAAAAAGAAATTTAAAACAATTTCCTTTTTCACTCTGCCATGGAAAAAATATATTTCTTGTCCCTGATGCATTCCAAGATTTGTATCTCATCCAGTTGGTTTCCAAATGGATATCTTGATGAAGTGGTGTTTTTTAATACTACCAAATGCTTTGATAAATGTTTGCAGAAGATACTGTTACCACTGTTTCTTACAGGTGCATATCCTCATCTAAGACACTGTTATTCTTACCTTCTAGTCCTGTGATTTGTTACACCATCAGTAAAACCACAATTCCATCAGTTTTGTTTGTATTTCTTTTGTTTGTGACCATTCAGTGTATCCATGCTGATAATGTGAAGTGTAGTAGCTGATCTGGGCTGTGTTTGGAGAAAAATGCTTTTTAAAAAATAGAGTCTGTAGTCTTGGGGGGGATGTTCAGACAGGCTTATCTGATTCTTATTTGAAAAAACTGATAAAACATTTTTGATCTGATGTACAGAGGTAACTGCGAAAATACGAGGTATAAATATAATATCCATTGGTCTGCCCTCACTTTGAAGGCCAAAATGAGAAAACTTCTTTGTGTACAATGCCAAATCCCCATGTTCCAGATTCTGATTTTCCTAAGCTAGCAAGACAATACAGAGCTTGCAACTTTAATAGTTATTTTTTAAAATATTCTGGATCATTATATACTTCTAGTAATTAAATTGAAATGGACTCTCAGCTATCCTTACCATATGTGTTGCTGAAGAGTTTTGGAATTTCTGGGAGTAAAAAAGCCCATTATGTTCAAGCTTTTTCAGTAAGCAAGGTTGGAAGTACAAATGTAGGTTACTGATATTATTGTTGTATCAGACTTTGATGGCCAAATACTGACACAGGACAAGGAAGAACAAGATACAGGCATTTGTGTATACTGGAGACTGCCCTGGGGGTGAAAACATACATGGAAACTTTGTGTGTTTAACTAACATTTCTCTGGACATTGTAATCCAGTGATGATTTGGTTATTCAGATGTCACAGATGAGTACTCTCCTGCAAACTGATACCAGGCTGGAATTTAATGCTGAGGAGCAAACTGCCTTGGAACTACTTCACTTCAAAGTGTTTGTTCTGCCTTCTTGTATAGAAGAGACAGGTCCATCAGTATAAGAGTTTTGGTGGGTTTTTTTAATAAAAAGACACTCAGCTGATGATGACTCATTAAAATGTCCTCGTGACATGCTGTGTTCAAAAGATCTCTGAATAAATCAGCCTTAGTAAATTTCTAAAAAAATATTGTAATTTGGGACTGTATCACTACTTGGGGCTGTTGCTGTTTTTTCTTCCCTGAGTAATGTAAATTTATTGTGTTGGGGGAAATTTGCTTTAAGAATGTGGAATAGTACTGTCAATAGGTTCTAATTTTCTCCAAGACAAACTAGACTATTTGCAAAGATTATTTTTTAAATCAATTTCATGACAGAAAATCAAAACCTGTTTTAAGTAGCACCTCTTTTTCTTCAAAAATTGAAAAATTCTAGTAGTCTCTAGAACTTCCTCCAGTGGTTTTGAATATGCTAGGGTTTTACTTGGCTCAAAAGCAACGGAAATTCAAAATTTACTGTGTCCTGTCAAAATATTCACCTGTCAAACTTGTTATCCCCCTTTCCAGTTACAAGTGCTCCATAGTTAACTTTTCCATGAGAGCATGAAATGACTGTTACTGATTGTAACTGTGAGTGGTAACAGTGGATTATCTTTTATAATTCTATGTATAATGTTGAGTATTTTATTTGTCTTGGTAGGCCTCAACAAATAACGAGAGTTCAAATCACAGCTTTGGAAGCTTGGGATCTTTAAGTGATAAAGAATCAGAGGTAAGTGTATGGGGCAGATCATTATTACCTCAGAATTTTAATGCAAACAAGTAATTTATTTTTATTCTTCTTTGATGCCTTATTTTGCATAGAAGCTTTTAAAGTAAAATGCAGATTACTCAGATAGGTAGCAGAGAGCATAAATTACTGAAAGACATTATCTCTTGGAAGAGGAACCGTGACTGGAAGAAGTGAGTTTCTTTGGATTTTTGGTCGTGAAAGTAGCTGCTGCTGCTTCTCTGTTATCTATGTAGTCATGGTCTGAGGATGGATACAGCTTTTGGAGCTGAAAATGTTTATGTAGTTTACTGTCTTTTGTTTCATAAGTAAAAAGTGTTTCATCAGCACAGATAGCTTTGACTGATCTTTGGATGAATCCTTGAAAATACTCTAGAAACTAGTTTACTGTGTTTTCTTTCCAAATAGGGATTTATGCCAAGGACAGACATCCTTAGAAGAGGTCATCTTTATTTGTAAAGCTGCAGTTGTCACTGCGTATTTTCTTACCTAAATCCAGTTTGCAATCCAAGAAAAGGATGCATGCTTTTATTAGGTTTAAATGTGCAGAGCTCAGACTTGCCTTGAGTAGAATATTTTCCTCTTAGTGATGAGCATTGCTATAGTTGCACTAGTACTACCGCTCTTAGAATGTACCTATTTCGGGGTCAGTGAGTGTCTCTGACAGTTTTGCCTCTGTGTGTCACAGATTGCATGGATAAGATTATATCCTTTGTAAGCAAGAGTGGATTTCTGGCCTAGGCTAGGCCCTGTGTGTCATGCTGGAGAGATGGTCATTTGGAATGTGCTCTTGGTGTTATTTTCACGTCAGAGCTTTACTTTGGGGCCTAATTGTTCATTTGCTCAGTCACTACAAGATGCTTTTTTACTGGGCTCTCAGCAAGTGAATTTAATTGGTTCCCAAAGCTGATACTTTATAAATAAAAGTTCTGTATGTGTGATTTGTTTTTCTTGTTGAAAAAAAGCTCTGCTATGTTTTTTTTTCTCCTCACCTTTCCCAGCTGGATTATGCATCCAGCTGCATAGACTGTTTTCTTAACCAGAAGATTCTGTCTGCCTGTTGTTTTTATTCATGGCTTTTCCTAGAAATACTCTGGGCAGTGATGCAGTTCTGATGTAGGTGTGGGAATGGGAATGTGCTGCAGTAGCCTGAAGGTTATGATGCATTATTGCCATTCCTTGACAGAACACCATGTCTATGAGTAGTTGAGTGATCTCAGAACACTGACTATATGTGTAATAAGTTTTTGGTGTAGTAAAATATTATTTTACAATTCTATACACGAGATACAGAGGTAAAGCTTTTCCAAGGCATGTGATTTGAAAGTCTCTGCACAGTGTTGTAACCTCAAGTCTTGCTTCTGAGTAAGGGATAGTATTTTGTCTTTTAAATATTCTAAGACTTGTATTCTTAAATAGAAACTTACATCTTTTTTGAAAATGTCCCTGCACAGAAGTCCACTGTGCTCCATTGCACAGTGAAAGATGTCTTATTGACATTGCGTAGCAAAACGCATTTTCTTGACTCTTTTTCAGAAGTTGTTAGTTCTATTCACTCTAATTGTTGTAGCAAGTATGTTAATAAATTTTTACAGTTCTTAAAGTTACATCTGATTACTTATGTGCTAAAGTACCATAAAAAGTAAGCTGTAGATCTTAGTACTGCAAACAGGTTGTGAGATTGCTTTGTTGTGCTGGTTTTTGTTTTTTTTAATAGCATGACCTTGTAGGTTTCATAGTAACAGTGAAGGTAGTAAATGGAAATCATAATGGAAATGATCTTGATGGTAGTATATGGAAATCATAGACTTGCTCACTAGGGAGGCAGTGCCATCATTTGATGTTGGAAGAGCACTGTTGTATTACAGTAGGTCTTGGGAGAAAAAAAAGGTAGATATGCAAATCTGAGAATCATTGAAATTAATTTCTAGCAGGAGTGTCAATTTCTGATCAAACCCCGATGATGCATTCATGTCATTACTCTGTGCTTTCATCATGAAGTGGCACATTAAATCTGGGAATGTGAAGGGAAGACTCAGGGGAAGCACACTGAAATTGAGGGGAAAACTAGGATCAAGACCAAGATGTATGAGGCTCTGCTAGTATGCCAGGCTGTGTGTGACTTTAATATAACTTTACAATCTAGCATTGGGTAACCTTAAAAGTATTTTATCTTGCTTATGAAATAGCAAGATTTTAATTTAAATCTTGGCTATATGTAAATACTTTGGCAGCTACAGAGAGTAGCTTCAGTCTTCATTTATCAGGGAGATACTCCCCAGCCCCATTAGTCTTCAGTTTCTTGTAATTCAGAGGACTCCATTCATTAGGAAGGATTTTGGAGTACATTTTCTAGTGATTGATGTGTGCTGTACATTATCATGCGAATTTTGTGCTTAGAAAAGGGGAACATGACCTTGTTGAGTAACCTCATTAATAACCTCATTAGTGTGCTAGTACTTTCTGGTTTGGAAGGTTAAATTAAACACTGAAAGAAATCAGAAGAGCTTAAGGAAATAGACATTTATGAATTACTTGAGTTTTGAAACTATAAACCTCTTTAAATGGCTGGTTTTACAAGCCACAGCAGCTGGAAACTAGTTTTGGTGGGGGAAATCTTATGTGGTTTTTCATTAATTAGATTTTAAACATTTTTTTTCTTGATATGGTAGGTAAAAATTACTGCATTAGAATGTAACTGCAGAATTGAAAGCTGGAAAAGAAGAATAACATGAAAATGCTTAGTTAAGTAGTTTCAATTTAGTTTGTGGAAAGGTAGCTTAATGTTACCTGTTTACCTGGCAATAATTCCAAATTATTAAAGTTAAATTTCCAAGCTATGCTTTCTGCTTTTAGAATCAATAGTCTTGAGTTAACTCCATTTCCAGGAGTCTGTGTTACATACTTTGCTAATGTATGATAGCACTGTAGAAGATGCAGATGTCAGTTGGATGAGTTTATTTAAAGTAAAATATATTGAATTTAAACTTAATTTACAGCCTGATAATACAACATTTATGGTTGTAAAACTTACAAAGATATCTTTATGAAGCTACTCACAAGAGTCAAAACACATAAAAAAATACATGGTATAGGTAGGGAAGACCTTTCTTGTCCTGCTTGTTCTTTTATTAGTCTAATAGTTTTCTGGGGATCACAGGTAGCTTAAAGTGGTTCTTGCCAACATAAATACTGTTGGGTATTTGTGGTAAATTCACGTTTGAGCATATCCACACAAAGGTTTTGGAATTGAATAGTCCTTGAAATGATTTACTGGTGGTTGAAATTTGAATGTTGATATAATTTGCTGTGTTAAGAAAGCATTCTTGGAGCACCAAATGACACATACAATAAAATTAGAACATGATGGTATCATGAGAGAATGAAGCGTCTTGTCACTGATCTCAGATTTAGTCTGAGCTATTAAGGAACTTTGGTGTACTGGTAAAATAGATCATGTAATGTCTCCTGTGCTTCCTCCAGTTATGTATGAGGCACCATGAAGAATGCACACACAGAGAGCTGCAATATGCTGAACGAGAGCAGCTTTTATTATTTAAATTGGGGAGACTAACTGGTTTGAATCCTCAGATCAAAGAGGAGCAAATGTAATTTAGAGATGCTTCTGATCACAGCCCTTTCTTGTTATCTGTGTTGTACATGGTGATTGTAATTTCCAGGCAACTGTATAGAAAAATTTATTCCAGAAACATTAACAGATCTCTATTTTTTCACTTTCCATTGATACTTTTCTTTCTTTTCCTTGAGATAAAAGTATATGGGAAGGATGACACTTTCTAAGTGGATAGATGTTCACATTTTGAGGAATTTTTGCTCTCTACTTTTTTCTCTTTTTCTTTCTTTTTAATTCTCAGCAGATTCTAGAAATCTATACAGTTTTTTATTAGTTTGGAAATATCGCTGACACTTAGAAAAAAGTGTAACATTATTGGCTTTCTATTGAAGTACTGGCACTTTGTGTTTATGCTACAGCAGTGTGTAGAAACACCATCAAGAATCAGATTATTTCACTTAAGTATTTAGCTTTAAAATGCCCACACTAAAATACAGAGATCTTGGTAAAATGTAAACATAAATGAAACAAAAATGGGTATTCAGAAACCCTGGAATGAATGAAAAGGAGTTATTGCTTCAAAATTAATATGTGGAATTGTCTTTTGGGAAATAATTTAAGAATTACTTCTCACTTTCTTAAATACCTGTTCTAGCTTGTACCTGATTGACCAAAGATCATATTATCTAGTTTAACTACCATCTGAAATTGCATCCCTGCTGAATTGTGAAATCATGTTTTATGGATGAGGATTTAAATTTATTTCATAATAATACAGCAATAATACAAATAAATCGAGCCTATGTTGCATCATGTTCTTTTTGTTGTTTGTAGACTCCAGAGAAGAAACAGTCAGAACCTTCCAGAGGAAGAAAAAGAAAAGCAGACACTCAGAGTGAAAGCAGCCAAGGTAAATTAAAATGTAAATTGACTAGGTAGTGATTGCATGTAATACAACTTTGACTGTAAGCCTTAAAAATTCTGTATTTTCGCTTACATAAGATGGCTGTTATGTTTTGGATGATGTTATGTATTCTTGTCACCCTCCCATTTGTCACTGGAAGGGATGGGCAAGTAAAACATGAATGGGACTGGTAATTACCCAAAAGAATCATGAACTACTGCATGTGTAACTCACAGCTATGATACAACTCTGTAATCTTTATAAGAATTGCAGCAACTCTTCTCATGCAAAATACCTTGTGGTCTGAATTTCTTTTCAGTAGATAAGGGGGAAAAAGGATTACTGATTACAAAAATACCTGGTGCTTGTTTTACAGGTATATATAAGAACTTAATTTTATTCTTCCTTTTTTGTGGAAGATTGTAGTAGTTTAAAGGGGTGGGGAAATCAGGATGAGACTGATTTCTAATATTTACAAAGTTTGGTTTTTGTCATTCCTCTCTTTTGTGTGACTTTTGGGTGAGAACTGGTGAAAATTTAGCCTCAAGACAAAAATTCATCAGAAGGGGAGCAGAAATAGTTCTGATAACATCTGCATCAGCTTTATTTTTCATTCTAACAGAGCTAGAAAATGTCACTTCAGATTTAAACCAATGGGCTCCATATCTGGAAGCCTTAGTGATGCAGCATGCTATTAGCAGAATAATCATGTTGTTTGATTAAAATTAATTTCTTCCAAAGTGGTACTTTGTAGACACCTGCTTTGTTCAAAGAACCTGAATGAATGTTCCTATTTTCATTGTTCTAGTAGCCTATCCTTCCTCTTACTAATGAGTGTTAAAATTAGAGATGATGGAAATTTTTTGGCATTTTTAATATAGAAAACATGATAATAATATTTTATCACTGTTTTGCTGTCAGCAGCAGTAAAACTGAGTAGTCTGCACTGCAATATTCTCAAGGAGCTGGCCTAGGAAACTGCTGCTCCTTGGAGTGGTACAGTACAGTTGAAGCACAACAAAAACCTCCTATTGTATTGGAAAAAAGAAACAAGAAATCAATCTCTTGTGTATTACATACCCAGGATATTGACTTTTTAATATGTAAATTAATCCATAAATGTTGAAGAAAAGGATTGTTTAGAACATTGAACTAATTGGAAGGTGATATAAATCAGTGTAAATCTATTCATAATAGGCTGTGCCGAAATAATTTGACATATTTCTTCAGTGTAGAGCTCTGTACCATGACATCAAATAGATTTTTCCATACTGAAGAGGAATGCAGTCTGTCTCTTTTACCTGCATGAAAGCAAATTTGATAAAGTGGTATGAGAATTAAGCATGAGGCCAGAAATCACTAGGAGAATTACAGAGTAATTCTGGAGGGAAGTAGTAGCAGTACATAGACTGACTGAGTAGCTACTGGAGAAGTTGGCTGTGTGCTGTTCTAGGTCTTGGAATTATTTTATCTAAATTTTTCTGTTAGAAGTCTTGACACAAAAAGCACTGCCAAATGTTTCTGGTTTTTTATGTTACTACTTAGTGACACAGCATTGTGCAGCAGTGTCAGTACAGAGGTGTATTGAACTAGAGAGAATTCATCGGGGCTGAAACAATAGAAAAGTTTGAAAATCTTTGCTAAAAAGTGGAAATCAAATTTACAGATCTATGGGTAATGACTTCCTTTTTTTGCAATATATTGCAAAAAATCCTTTCTGTAAATTAAAAGCTCTGAACAATAGTCCATTTCCAAGATGTCTCCTGACAGGTTGTCTGGCTTCTACAGGAGAAAAGCCCAGTCTTAAGATTTATGTGTCATCTTAGGGCCAAACAGAGGCAAACATTTGTGCATTGGATAAGGTATAGGTGCAACCTCTGGAATGCCAGGTGCGGGTCAGGTCCTCCTGTTGAAGAAATACAATTCATGTTAGTTCTCCTGAAGTCTCAATCCGTTCAAGATAAATTCTAATATCAATCTCTGGTGTTTTATTTCCCTAGTTAACACTGTGAGTTACCCAATTCATTATCAGGTTAAGAGGACTGGAAATACTTGTCATTCTCTATGCCCTCACTGTTACTGGCACCTAGGAAAATCCTTGGGCAGAATATGTGGGCATAATAACTCACCTGGGGTACATAATGTTAGTAGATGTGGTCAATTTGATACTTAGAAATAGTCCTTGAAAAGAGGAGGGACTTAGAACGGAAGGTTTGATCTGTAGGATGAGAGATGAATTTCATGTTATCTTTAAGAGGTCTAGAGTTTCTGTAAAGTCTACTCTAAACTGGTTTAGGAATTGAGGGTGACTTAATATCTGATTTCTCAATGAATGGAATATGCAAATCCCTTTGTTTTGGGAATCCGTTAATTACCTATATAGGGACGTCAAGTATTACCACATCAAAGAAAACCAATTAACAAGTGATAAGATTTTACTGTAATTATTTTATATGTAAAAATGTAAGACACCTCCACAAGTAATTTATTTAACCAATTCTAATGTACTGCTGTATTTATTGCAGGAAAGAATATTGGGGGACGTGGTCACAAGATTAGTGACTATTTTGAGGTAAAAATTTTGTAAATTTTACTTTGGTTTTAAGATTTTCTTCTAAAATATCCTTTTAGCTTTTTTTGGATGCTACAGCATTTTTGGTTATAATGGACGGACTTCTTGAGACATTACTTTTCTTTCTGTATGCTTCTCAGTATTAAACCTTGAAGTAGAGATGCAGTCATCTCTTGATGGAGACGAACTGAACTAAAATACAAAACCCATTATTTTTCACACTTTCTTTAAGCAGCTAAAGGTTGCACTGATAAAAGTAATAGAATCTGATTTAAAATTCTGTGTAGAGACGAGCTGTAGAGTGTAGTGTGTACTTTGAGTAGATGTATAATGTATTTTGAGAAGATTGACTCATTGGGGTGCCTGTGTGCTCTGCAGTACCAAGGTGGGAACGGCTCGAGCCCGGTGCGAGGCGTGCCTCCTGCAATCCGCTCTCCTCAGAACTCACATTCCGCTCCTTCTTCTGTAAGTCTGCAGCTTCAGAACTGCACCACATACTTGTATACCCTCAAAGTAGCAACATTGAAAATAATCTGTATTCAAGAGGGGAGTTTTCAAAGGAATGAGTCCTGGGAAAGAATTCATTCTTCCACCAGGAAAAAACGAAGTCAAATTAAGTATTAAAACTAAATTTTCTATTCACACTGGGTCGTTTCTTCTTAAACATCTTTTTAAATACAAAGTAGTTATGTAAAAGGTTGAATAAATGTTAAAATGTTGTAATGATGTCTATTTGTAGGCCTCACACAAAACAAGGGGGGTTTTTTTGTTACTTAAAAGGAAACTTGAACCCCCTAACTTGGGACTTTAAAAGCTGAGGTTTTGATAAATTGTAATTTTTTTCAATAATTGATACCTTTTGCCTCTAAAATTCTCTTTGATTGTGCTAATTCCTTTTTTTTCCTTCTCATAAGCACAATTTCAGTGCCCAGCATACCAATGTGCTAAATGGCTAAACCAATTTTGCCAGTTACAGAAAACATTTGTTTTCTCTGAAGGTGGACCTCAGCTTTTATTCCATGTGCTTTCAACTTCAGGCATCCTCTTGGTCTTGCCAACAATATGGAGTGTAATACAGATTTTGGAATTCAGCTTGAAAAAGGTCTCATTCACACAAACTAGGTTCATTAACAGGATTTGCTTTCTGATTTGCACTTGCTTCCCCTCTCAGGTTCTCCCGTGAGAACTAAACATTCCAAAAATAGCTCACGTTGTTCTTGAGTTGTGAAAACTCAGAACAGAAAAATAAGTCTTTGTAAGACTAACATTACCTTATGTCAGTCTTGTATTGTCTTAAATCTTTCAGTCTGTTTCCCAAAAGTGACAATCTTAGTTTTCTCAGAGAATGTACTGCATCCTTCCTGAGCTGCAAGTGGTATGTAACGCCATACTGATAGCTCTCAGTGCAGTGCTCCAAGTAGTAGCTTGTGTACAAAAATACCTTATTTTTCTGTTTCTCTGAGATGTTCCTGCCAAGAGTTGTACCAAGGCTATGCTCATAATTAAATACTTCAGCTGTATCTAAAAGTCTTTGCTTTCATGCTTTTCAGGTTCGACAGAATAGTCCTTCTCCTACTTCATTAGCTTTCGGGGACCACCCTCTCACACAACCAAAGCAGTTATCTATTAAAATTACTCAGGTAACTTTTTGAGATCACTTTACATTGCAGGAAAAAAAAAAGTAGTTATGTTTATTTCTTTGTCTTTTAACTTCTTATAAACTCCTGAAGACTTTGAAAAGCTTTGCTTTTTAAGATTGCCAAAGCATTTTTCAGTTATGTTCAGCAGCTCATAATTTAAATATCTGTGGTGAATTTTGTATTCTGCACTTGCTCAGCTCCCAGCATGGCACTTCATGATTACATAGATGACCATGGCATTGGTAGGTTTTTGCTCAAGATTTTAGCTGTTGTGTGATTTTAGAAGTAGAAGCTGCTTTTTCAGGCAGTATTTGAATTGACAGCTGCCATTGTCATACTGCATTTAAAATCTGACATTGAAGAAGAAAAATGAGATGGATGAGATGGCAATCAAAATGATCAACGCAATTCTGACATGACTTTTAAAAGCTGAAATCAACTGTTTCATTCTCTCTGCCATTTCTGATGTGATCTGTTCTTTCACATTAGTCAGAAAAAGGTTGCTTAACTGTTGACTGATACAGAGAAATTAATTAGTGGATGTTTACATTCTTTCCCTGTTTTTTATGCCTTTTTTATGAACAGTCATTTCTCAGTTGTTGGTGAAATCTTTTAATAGTGTTAATGGTTTGTCCCAGCTGTTCACAGTTGTCCTCATGAAGAGGGAAAGTGATTTTGAATAAGAACCTTTAATGACAGTTCCAAACACCTGAAAATAAGATTTTTCTGGTCTTGTTGAATGTTTTAAAGTCATTTTTTTCTCTGCCTAACAAGCATAAAAAGAATAATGCTGTAGCTGTAAAAGGAAAGGATAAATATTTCAAAATGTTCTTTCTAGACTGATCTCACAATGCTGAAATTAGCTGCACTAGAAAGTAATAAAAATCAAGACTTGGAAAAGAAAGAAGGTCGTATAGATGACTTACTCAGGGTAAGTGTTAGACCATGGGTAAAGGTATTTATTCAGAACAGCAGACTGAATATGAGGATAATTTTTTAGATTTTTAAAGAATTAATTAAAAGGTATAACAAGTTTTTAATTTTTGTATTTTTTTTCTTAAATCTAAGAAGTCTATATAATATAATGTATAAGTTTTTTTTCAGCTTCTGTGCGACAACTTGTTAATGATTAAATATGTTTATGGACTTCTGAAGGTGCAAAGAAAGCCGATGCCATTTGCAGGCAGTTGGTTAATTCCTTAAATTCATATTATAATTCACCTAACGGGTGGTTTTAGTTTTTTTGGTTCTAATTATGAATAGGCATTATCTGTGGAAAAACTGTTGGCATTTTCAGAATGGAGGTGATGGTGACAGAAATAAAATACAGGCAATGAATAACTACTTTCAGTAAGAAAACTGTACTATACTCTAATACTTGTTTTCAGAAAAAGAATCCTAATGTTTATGCTCTTGAAGGAAACACTGGAGAGGAGATATACAGAAATATGAAATATGAAACAAACCTGTATTTCACAATTTGTAGTGTGTTTAGTGTTTGTATGTGTACATACATATGTACAATACATAAAAATATTAACCCATGTAATGATGTACTATGAAATTGTATATGTAGATTGTTTTAACACATGTTCAACAGTATGGAGTAGACAAGCCTAAACTATTTTTAACTTTTTTTAAAATCAAAATAATATTGTTGTGGGATTTTTAAGGTAATAAGTTAAATATATTTAACTTATTGGAACACAGGGAATTTGTTAAGCTTCCTACTCAGATAATTAAAACTTTTATAACTGTGAAATTTTTGCTTTCTTTTAAATTGGGGGTGTTAGGATTCACATGACTTAAGAATCATATATAAAGATGTGATGCTAAAATTTTCCGGTTTGGATTTCTCAGCCCTCAGTGGAGAGCTGAACATGAGATTGTTACAGAGTTTTTGTATATTCTCAATATGCTGAATGCTCTGTAATACAGAATGCAAGACAATGTAAAGGAAAGAAAAAAAAATCAGGGCATCCTTTTATAGATAGGGATATATCTGTGAAATTAATTTTTTATTTAGATAAATAGATGTGTTTATGCATGTATAAGCATGCATAAACATTCTTACTTTAGTCATGTGAAATTAGATATATTTATTTTATGTGACAGCTGATTTAAAAGCTGTTTCAATATATCTCTTCATATTTTGTATATATTTATTAGGCTAATTGTGATCTTAGAAGACAAATAGATGAACAACAAAAACTACTTGAAAAATACAAAGAAAGGTTAAACAAATGTATTTCAATGAGCAAGAAGCTTCTAATTGAAAAGGTAAGTTTATTGCTCTTAAAATCTTCATTATAAAAGCTTGGAAACTGCTGTAAAACTCCATTATGATTCCTTCATTTTCACTTCGACTTTTTCATATTTGTCACTTGATTGAAACTTTGTATCCATTGTCTCTATCTGGCAATATTTTTATAAACCTGAATAAGCTAAATAAAACATTTAACCTTTTTCGGATTGTGGAAAATGTACCTTTTTTAATTTAAGGATTTGCCCATCGTAAGTAAAGCAAAATAGCAAATCATTAAAGTTATGAATTTAATATATGGCATATTTTCTGGAAAAAATTTAAGATTACACTGGGTAAAAGAATTTTTGAACCTAATCTGTTGTGAAGAGGAGATGGATAATATCTCTTTGTGAGACACTTAAGTGGCTATGGTAATTTTTGATGTAGAATGATAAAATGCTGTGTCAGCTCAGAATTAATGGAAAAAAGGAAATGAAGATGACTGCCTTCATAACTGCCATTAATGAAATAATCACTTTTTAAAAATTTCACCCCAATTATATTTAAACTAGTAGCAATTTATTAGGCAACAAGGATACCTTGTTTCTCTCCCTCTTCTTTAAAATAGCCTATTTTTTAAAAATCTTAAAAAGTTAATAGGAAATCATGTTATTAGAAATTAAGGTACAAAAAAGTTTAAGACAAACAGCCCCAGTGCCTTCCCTAGTGCTGGCTGCTGGATCCTGCTGTCATATACAATGGCACAAAGAGAGCCATTGGAGGATTCAGGAGTTTTCTCACCAGCATGTCATAAATAAATTATTGCAGATCTTTTTAAGTTCCAGCATGAGGGGAATGCAGGGGAAAGATGCATCACATCTGTTTGGCATGATAGTAAGTGCATATCTTCTGACTGAGAATCCCACAAGGGATGTTTCCTGTGAAAAGCCCTTCTTCAGCCTAGAAGTGTTTGTAAGAACAGCCGTAATTCTGACAACCTCTCACTTTTTGTGTGTATGATTTTGGGCCATAGACATTTGTTATGAAGCAAGCATTTGTAGCAGTCAAAGAGGTTTCCTTGCATTAGGTGTTCACAGTGCTCCTTCTTTGAGGGAGAGCAGGCAGACTCGGTTGTCACATCCCAAGGGTGCCTGTGGTGGCAGTGCTGGTTCTGAGAAGGGAATCTGCTTTGCTTCTGCAAGTGGATATCTGGTGCAGTCAGGGCTGCCCACAGTGCAGTGCCACACAGAGGTCCCTGCCCCAGGTCCCTTGGTACCAGCACTAACGTAGATGCTCTGGCAAGGAATTTCCAGGCCAAGTATAGGAAATGCTTTCTTTATCATATTTGAGTCAGTTATTTGTTGTAGTAGACATGTACAGGTAGAATCTTAATTATATCCTCTATGATGCTGATACTCTAAAGTGCTTTTTTAATGACGAGGGGCAGCAAACTTTATAGGGTAACAGAGCCAAACTCAGGGGGGATTTTGGTGCACAAATTGTCCTCTAGTACTGGTTCTGGCAACTGCAGCTTGAGTTCTGTAGAAATTAGAATAAATGGGGTAAATACTGCAACATATTTTTGTTAACACTTCTCTTATCCTTGCCTTAAAAGGCTGTTGGAGGAGAAAAAAAACCCTGACTGTTTTATTGACTTTTTGAACACTTTAGTGTTACTAAATATGAAATTTCTTTTGTTGTTTACTTAGAGCACACAGGAGAAGCTAGCAAGCAGAGAGAAGAGCATGCAAGACAGATTACGCCTGGGGCATTTTACAACAGTTCGTCATGGTGCTTCATTTACTGAACAGTGGACAGATGGCTTTGCTTTTCAAAATCTTGTGAAGTTAGTCAATGCTATGTTCTTAAAGTTCTCACTAATTGTTACTTCCCTCTAGTGGACTTTTTTATTACTAATATTGTAGGATTGAAGCAGCTTTTCATATGTTGTATTTTGCTTTGCCTTTTGAAGACTGAGAATAAAATATAGAACTCCATTAATCAGGTGAGGGAATGCTAAGGTTGTGTGTCTCTGAAAATCAGTTTGGTTCCACTTTAACTATCTTTACAATAGCATGAATGTTGTAAATAAGCAGCACATAGTTATTCAACTCAGCTGATAGAATTATAAAGGTAAATCAGTGATTTTTCAGGAAGCTAACCAAGTATGCCTGGTGGTCATTGGGACAAATGAGGTCTGTGAAGTTCTCACTGGCCACGTAGGTGCTACCTGCACATCCTCATGGCAGCAGCTTTCTGTGGTGTGCAGCTCCTTAGTGCTGTGAAGGAGCAGTGACAAATCTGGCAGCCTCAGATGGGATTTAGTGCAAGTGGATGGGGGAGAGCAACCACCTGGAAAAGAGCTGCCATAGCAGGTATTCCAGCAGAGATGGGGCCAAGGAAAAGGGCTCTGCAAGACTCTCAGAGATGGTGGTAAAATAATTATGCAGTGCTTCCAAAGGAGTTCTTTGGTAATTAGTCTGATTCATTGGAAGTACAGATAGATTTGTAGATAGAAGAATACATATATTTTAAGTAATTCACCAAGAGTTTTGTTTTTGAAGGGTAGTGTTTAGTCCTGGTATTATGGGATTGCCTGGGACACTGCTTTTCTAAACAGTCTTAAAAACAGTCTGTAGATGTATTTGGCATAAAAGCTGTAATCATTTACCATAAAACCAAACTGATGGTTTATTTGGGAATGACCAGATCAAATTCAGTATTTGGCCTATAAAAATCAGGTGCTCTCTATTGATGCTGTCAGGGAGTGGTTTTGATTGTATAAAATAAGATATCCACCAGCTCAGATTTTTTTTTCCTTTTTCTAGTGCAGAAATCATCCATAGCACTTTCAAAAACAAAACAAAAAAACCAAAACCAAAACCCCCACAAAACCCCAAAACAGCAACAAAACCCAAACAATCTCCCTGAAACCACCATATATTTAAAAAGTAAATTGTGCCATAACTTTAGCAAAATTTTTCCACTTCATGAAGAACACTGGTGTTCGTTCTCCTAGGGAACATTTTCACACGTTCAGTAAGTTTTTTTAAATTTCTAAATGCCTTATCAGTTAAAAAGATAGTTCTTGAAAAAATGCTAATTGATGAAACTTTAATAAAGCTCTTTTTGGGGTTTACAGGCAGCAAGAGTGGGTGAATCAACAAAGGGAAGACATTGAAAGGCAGAGAAAGCTCCTGGCCAAGCGAAAGCCTCCAACTACAAATAATTCTCAGGCACCATCTGCCAATTCTGAACCCAAGCAGAGGAAAAATAAAGCTGTGAATGGGGCAGAAAACGATCCCTTTGTTAGACCCAATTTACCACAGCTGTAAGTTTAACATTTCAATCAGTCTTTTACATAAATTCTGAGATATTGTCTGTGTGTGTTCTATTCAAATAACAGCATAAAAAGGCACTCGGTATATTCAGCAGCTATATTCTCACTAAGGACTTGCTGATGCTAGGCAAATTTGCACCACTGTCTATGAAGTTGTTGTACAATTGCACTGTCTATGAAGTTGTACAATTTATTTTTGGTAAAGTCACCAGAGAAGGGCCCATTATGGGGATAGGCAATGTTCCTTATGTTATCCTGAACTAGAAGTCTCCTTATCCTGTCTTCTTAGTCTTCTAATGTCACTGATACTGATTGAACTTTTCTGTATCCACGTTGGTTTAAGAGCTTCTCTTTTAGTTGGAGATTATTTTTTTCCATATAGCAGTATCTAGTTGACAAAAAAAAAATTTTTCAGCCTTTAGTATGTGAAGACATGTTTTAAAACAGAAATATCTTTTCTCTCCTTCTGAATGCTACATCCTGAGATCAACTGTCAGAAGTTACTGATCCCATTTCACATATTGACAGTGTTGTCATTTTTTGTCATTGAAACATAAAAATGGAAAGTCCTTAAAGAACTCTGTTTTTTTCTGAGGACATCTTTTTCCTGCAGACAGAAAGGGTATAATTCAAGGCACACAAAGATGTGTTCTTGACATTTCATTTGAGTATTTTATGAAATTGCTGCTTCAAGATATTAGTTGCTGCCCTTTAAGCCAATATGCTGCAGCTGATAGTATATCTGTTCCCAGTTTATTTTTAAATAAAAAGTAAATAACTAGGCTTTAAAAGAGTAGCAAATTAATCTGTGTTACTCAGCAGAAGTAAGCTACCTGTATTGAGCATAGTCACTTGCCACCTCTCACATGTGGAGGCAGTAATTTATACCTGCAGGGAGGGGGCGTATATAAATTGCTCTGATTAGATCTGCTAAATAAATACATTTGGACCATCCCTTTGAAGACAGCTGCATGTGTTTTGCATAACGCATTCTTAAAATTCACATTGTGAAGTTGTTTTACTGTGACAAAAATACCATGAAAATACAGTAGTAAGGCTGGCAATGTAAGTAAATCTTGGTTAGCATTACTCCTGTTTTGGTAGAGAACTGAAGAGTCATTGCTCATTGTGACTTTTTAGTAATACTTAGTGCCTGTGTTCTTCTTAGACCATAATTAATACTTCAGAATAGTAAAGTAAATATTGCTGTTGTGTTAAAAATATATTGCTGTGTGTTTGAATGTAATCCCTCCTGTTATTAAAAGTAACGTTTAAGTAATGGAAAATACCTGAAAATTTACAGAAATTTTATTTGCTAACTTTTGGTTGGATATACTCCCATAATCTTAGTGCTCCTTTGAGAGATGATGAAATATAAATTGGGGAAAAATACAGACAGCATGTTCTAATTTTTAATTAGGGCAAGATGAAGTCCTGGTAATAAACTTCAGAATATTTTCTGGTGTTACATGGTGTTAAATAATTTCCAATTTACTAAAGACTGCAAATTTTCATTTCATCTGGCTTAACCAGTTATGTGTTAAATGACACATGAAAATGCTTGCCTGTTATGGAATTGTCAGGAGAACAATCAAAATTGTCCTTTTGCATCTAATGCTAGTTAAAATGTAAGCAGTAATTGAATCAAAACCATTTTGCATTTAAGTATCATAGTTTGATCATTAGATAGTCTAGATATGAGATTACTTGCCTGTATCATAAGCTTATAAATTTTGTTTCAGATCTTTGAGGAGATCTGTAGTGCATCCTGAGATCAGAGTCATTTAGCCACATGATGCTCTTAGGCCTTTACTTGAAAAGGGTTTTTTGTATTTAGGATTTGTTATAACTTTGTATTGTAGTATTATGTGTTGACTCCTTTCTGCTTCTCAGTACAGAATTAATTGTTTTGTGTATCTTGGTAGGACATTAATTATGCACTTCCATTTTAGAGTAAATTTGTCATGTGCTCTATGTGATTCTTTCCTATTACATTGCTTATCACTGTTTCTGCATTACTTTGACAGTAATGATCTTAATTAGTGTAGTCAAATGGAAAAGGCTCTGCTTTTATGAGGCATGAGGAAATGCAGAGCTGCTTGAGATTAATGAACTAAACCTGTAGTGAATTAATACAACATGCTTACAAGTGATCAAGCAGATTTATTTAAAACATACAAATGACTTGCTAGGGTTTGTTACCAACAGGTGTCTTTACCACTGCATTGTTTGCTTTAAAAAATATCTCCAGCTTCTGGTATTGATGAGACAAAATGATCTACAGCTTTGTAACAATCAGGAGTATTGAAGCTTCTCTGCAAACAGGTGTCAACTATTTTGAAACAGACTGAAGATGTTGCCTGAGGCATTCCTAATAAGGACATTGTTTGAATTTAGCTGAATTTACTGTGGTCTCTGATAGGAATGTAAAAGCAGACTTTTTGCTCTGAAGTTATTGTTATAAAAGTGTCTTGTGAGTGAATGGTGGCTTGGTGCTTCAAGTAACATGGAGCACATGAGTCTAAACACTGTCCTGGTTTTCCATCATTCTTCCCCTTTTGTGGCCTAAGCCAGAACTAAAAAGTAGTTTCGGTTTTGAGAGTTCTGTTTTCTACTGAGCAAAGTAATTCTATTAGTCTTATGTGAAAGGAATAAATTTAAATATATTTAAAGAAAAAAAATTATTTGAAGTAGAGGTTGCCTTTTTAGCCCTGGAGAAAATTCTCTTTGAAACCTCTCTTCAAGTTCTTTGGAGACATGAGAGAGGATTCTGTAAGAGTACAATGCAAGTCCCCACCTTTTGGAAGCAGCTCTTTTTTTCACGAGACAGCTGTTTCTAGGAGCAATGTGTTATTTGATTTAGATGGTGTAATCCTTTTTCTGCAGCTTCAGCCATTTCAGTTGTATTCACTTCCCTGTCACCTGTTCCAGTGCTCCCCAGTTCCTCCATGGCAGCCTGTGTGCATCCTTGTCCCTGCGTGCAGTTTGGACGAGGGGAGCAGAGGGAGCTGGCAGGGTTTGTGACTGTGGCTGAGCAAATGCATCATAGCAGGAGCATTCTGTTCTGTATGGAACAAATAAAAATATTTTCAGGAACTTTTTCAGGCTGAAGTGCCAACAATGTGTCTGGGCTTTACTGGACAAGTAAAGACAGCTCCTTTCCTGAGGCAGTCTATTTCTAAGGCAGACATGGAAACAGTGGGTGAAAAGACGTCATGAAAGGTTTTGACTTGGTTGAACTTTATTCATCCTTGTAGAAATTTGGGGAACTGGAGTGAAAATAAGCTTGGACACAAAGGGAAGAGCTCCAGAAATTGTAGCCACCAAACTTGGATTGGATGTGTGTATGGCTGTTAGGGAGCATTGGCTGCATTCTGCTGTGCCTGTGTATCCAGGGCAGAGGTGGGAAGAGAGATGCTTGTAAACATACCAGGCTTGATCATGGTGAGAACCAAGAAACACATGGCTAGTTTGGGATTTTTGTCTTGTCTGTACCCACTAGTAAAAGAATTGTGATTGTAGAAAGTTTTTATCTGCACTTGTGAGGAAGAAGGGAAAAGAAGACTCGTAATGTCAATGCATGTATATTGTGTCAAAACCTTTGAAATTTGGTGGTGAAAACATAAGCCTCTGAAAGGCCTATTCTTTCTAATTAAAAAAAAAAATAATTGGTGGTAGTCAAGTCTTTCAAGCCAGGAAAGCTATCTACTTTCTTCCATCAACAAGTGAGAGAGGCACATCATGGCCCTTTATGTCACAGGAGAATTATGCTACATACACAGAGTATGTCCAGTGCATTTTGGGGAATTTCTGGAATTTATTGCATGTGTTTCAGAGTTTATTTAGCTGCAGACAGCAGCCAAATTAAAGTTATTAAAATACAGCATTTATTGTACAGTAATTTTGTGCAGAAAAGATCATGGTCAGGACCAGACTGGTCCATATTAATTCATGCAACCTGTTCCCAGCTGCCCTTCTTCCCCAGTGCTCCTCAGATTAGCCCCAGGCCTGACTATCCAGCTTTAGATGGCAGCAGCCTTGTTTCTGGTTGATGTCCCTACCCTGTGCTCCTCAGCCTTTCTCCCTCCACGTCTGATGAGACCTGTGTGTCTCAGGTGATAAAGGAGCAACCCCTTCTGCATGAAACTGCGGTGTGCTGTAGGTGCCTTGGATGGTGCTCTGAGCAGCCAGATCTAGTAGGTGGCATCCCTGCCCATGACAGGAGGTTGGAACCAGATGATCTTTAAGGTCCCTTCCAACCCAGACATGGTGTGATTCTGTAATTCGGTTTTCAAAAGGTGCCTCTAGGGTGCCACTGTCCTGCAGAAGGTGTGGTGAGTGGATGCAGGTAGAAAGGGGTGGGCTGATGGGGAGCAGTCTCTAGGCTGGTAGGATGTTTTCAGACTGTGCAGTGAGCTCATGGCCTACAGCCAGAAACAGACACTGTTATTGGCTTACTGCTTTAGTTGTGTGCTATTTTAATACACACTACACTGTATTTTTAGATAAAAACTAATAAACTCCTAAAAAAAAAGTGTTTGCAAGTATGAGAGAATAAAGGTTTGTTTTTCAGAAATAAATGAACAAAATCCAAAGTGACTATATCTATGCACAGCTCTGTGTTTTATATGCCTTTCTCCAAAATGTGGTGGTCAGTAATGACCGTTTTAGTTTGCTGTGAAACATGCTGTGCTTCTAATAGAGTTAGATTTGTAAGGAAATAGAAAAATGAAAAACAATCATTTATTAGGTTGTGGCATAGAAACATGGGAAGAGTGACTTTGAATGTTAATGTTTTCTATATGATGTCCAAGTTGTGCTCTGTGCTCAAGAGGGCTGTCTCAGGACTTTCTGAAAGATGATATTTGCTAGAGCAGTCTGGGCACTTTGTAATGCTGTGGGGACACCTCAGGTTTTATAAAAAGGACCAAATTTTCTGTATTATGTTAGTTTTAAAGGACATCTGTGGTTTTACGGTTCTCAGTGTTCTCTGAAAAGTTCTGACAGGTCATGTCATAAACTTCATATTTTGAGTGTGTTTTACTGGTGGTTCAGCTTTGCAAAGTCACCTAAAATACTCACTCTTTTTCTTGAGAAAGACAAACTTTACTGTATCTGTATTTCTGGAAACCTGTAATTCATAGTGTAGACTAGGATCTAGGAGTGACAATATTCAACCTTGTTAACACTGGCATTGGTCTTTTTTAACTGAGAAATTAATCCACATTAGAGTAATTTGCTGTTTTAGTGGAAGTATTGAAAAAGTGTCGGGGATATTGTTTTAGGTCATCTAGCATGGTCTGCATTTCTTTGATAGTGCTGGTAGATGTATTACAGCAGGAATTGGAGCATTTGTTTCTTATGTTTCTTGCTGTTGCTTGGACTGTACAAAGTCCAAGTACATTGCCAGCTTTCCCAGCTGTGGAGACAGCCCATTTTGCATTTGCTTTAATGCCTCTTCTTTTAACATGTAACGTACATCTAAACCCAGAGGAGATTCTGCTAGGAAAAGAATATAAATGTTAGGTCCCAAAATCTGGTAGTAAGAGGCCTTTCTCAGAGAGGCAAATTTCCTCCCTCCATTGCCTGTAGAGTATTTGGGGAAGTCAATTGACTATAATACAAGACTGCTCTGAATTCCAGTAAGAAAAAAAAGATGCAGGGTAACCTTGCATTACATGTCTTAAAAGAAAAGATTGCTTGCTTCTCAGATTCTGACAGGATGTGATGATGGGTGCTTTTGTCACCTGATCTGAGTGTTTTCTATATGTTACAGACCCAGAAGGCTGATGAAATAACTGCAGTCTTGTGAGGCTCTTTCTAATTTCTTGAAAATTTAGATGGTGTGGTCAAAAAAACCCTCAATAATTCCACTGAGATGTGGTTGAATCAGTTTTCTGTTCTGCTCAAATCAGAAAATGGGCAGAAAATTCTGTATTTACAATAACAGGAATGGAAAGGGCTCTATGAAAGCTTCAGAACCGCCAGATTTTATCTGAAAAAGATGCACTCCTTTATCCACAACTTTTGAGATGTGATAAGAGTACAGGTGTTGGAATTGTGAAAACGGTGGTAAATTTGAAGTTTAAAAAGGAGGACAAAGTCTCATAGTCTATTAGATTTCTGCAAATTTTGTTGAAGTTGGTTGGCATTTGCTGTAAAAGAAATCTGAATTAGTGTCCCTCATCTCTGGGAAAACTATTGGTATTTCTCAAGACATTCTAGTCTTCAGACTTGCAATATATGATCTTCCCAGCTGATAGTTGAACCCACAGAAATATGGACTTTGTGAGAATATATACTGTGAGTTTTAGCTTTATATCATGCAAGAAGTATTAGGTCTAGGCAAAACAATAAAAAATGTAATTTCAATTTCTTTTGTAGGGATTTGTGTGAACCCTTTCAAGGAGGCCATACCTCTTTCTCCTTCCTCATCCCCTGTTTCTCTTCCTCCTATGTGCATGGTTTCTTATCTGGTACCTAAGTCTCTAGGGTTTATTTTTTGGGTGGTTTGTCCTTTTTGTTCACCAGATGGATACTGCATGCAATCAGTTCTCAGGTTTCTTAGTTACTAATCTCTGCAAACACTCGAGATTCTCTGCATGATAACTGCCTTTATGTCTGTGCAAGTCTATAGGCCGTGAGGGACCACTGAATTATTTGTAGCCAAAAATTGCAGAGAAAAGGAAGATGCAAAGAGAACAAGCAGGAGAGTCACGTGTGAATTCAAAACTGAATTTGTGGTTTCATGCAAAATGTAGTGCTAATGAACTTGAAAAGTACAGTTTTGCACTACTGTCTATAAATCACAGCTCAGAAATCCAGTGTTACCATTCTTGTCTAATTTCTGAATGTGTTAGAGTTGAGAACCAAGCAGTGGAGTAGGATCAGCTAAAATCTGGGATGGTGATATGATTGAAGATGCACTTAGGTAATTAACAGGCTGTCTGGAAGAAGCAAAATGGTTCAATGGGAGAGGCAGTTAATATTGCAGAATACCAAATATAGGCATTCTGTAGGTATGTTTTGATGACAAATCCAAGATGTTCAGATGGTTCAAAAGTGTACTTCTAGGACTTCTAATGACTTCTAAATAACAAAATACTGGATGTACTGTAGTTTTAAAGTAAAAATGCTATTGTTTTGTTTGCCACCATATAAAAGTTATAATTACATGATTGTTTCATTTTTCAGTTTGACTCTAGCAGAGTACCATGAACAGGAAGAAATTTTCAAGCTTCGATTAGGACATCTCAAAAAGGTATGTTTCTTTAATCATGGCCAAACCCATAAAAATTAGTGCTGTCAAATGAATAGATAGGTTATTGAGAACTGTCTGATTAAAAAACCCAATACTAAAAGCACTGTATTCTTTTATGCCTAATAGTGACTTTCCTTTTGTTTCTGTCTGTGCAACTTTTCATAAACTCTGGGATTACAGGGGAGCAGTAATGAGTCCATCCAGTGTAACGCTGTCCTGGTTCCTTAAATCCCTCCAAGAGTGCTGACAGTGATGATGCCACTGATCCTGCCCTTCCCTTTCCTTCTGAGCTCTTGTTTCACAGCTCAGCGAGCCAGCTAAGTTTGATGCATGGGCTCTTTATTTTTGTTTTTTGGCCTTTAAGAAGGTCCAATTCACAGCATTGTACTTCTGAATTAATGTAACATTTTCATTCTCTGCAGTATTCACTTCAGTTGTTATCAGTTAGCATATTACCTATCACAAGAGAATATAATTTTCCTACTTCTATGGAAAATCTGTTCTCTATGTCCTAAATTATTTCTGCAGTTAGATATTTTACTCTTGTTTTTGACTCTTAAAAATCCCTTTTTCTTGAACCCCATCATTCTAATAATTCTGTGTAGTGAGATAATTATTATATGAAGAAACTATTGCTCATTCAATCAAAGATTAAGGAATAACCTGTAAAATGGAATGGCAGTTGATGCAGACAGAAATATCTCAAGAAGAGTGAAGGAAAAGGACTTATATGTGCTGAGTAGTAGTTCCTGAGTTGTTGAGTCAAAACAGGTAGTAGTGTTTTCCCTGTGAAATGTTGCAAGTCTGTTTCAGGCCTTTTCTCTTCAAATGTACAAGCCACCTGTTATAAATCCTACTCTAATAAACTGAACTGGGCCCCTTGAGATAGCTGCAGCTGTTTCTAAAGAATATGCAGAAAGTACTTGAATCTGTAGTAGGAAATCTGCATATAATTTGCTGGCACTGGTGAAGTAGACTGCCTACATTGTTCTTCATTGTTAATGGTTTAGAAGCTTCACATGAAATTCTGTTTGGAAATTCTGTTTGGAAATTTGGTTTTTTTCCCAGGCTTTAACTTTATAGAAATCTAATGGGGATTTCAAATGATAGATGAAATAAACTGTTACAGGAGCATTTAATACTGGAATTTTGGTTTCACCTTGAGCATCAATGCTGGAGTACTTTGCAAACGACGGAAATTCCTTGACTAAATGCCAGGGGCAAAACAAATGTTATTCTTAGCAAATCATACTTGACTATATCTGAAGAAAATAATAAAAATACATTCTTACATTGTAATTCTTATGTGTGATACAGATTTAGTCATTAACTAAGAACACCAATTTTGTTACCTTCATTTTACATGGCTGTATTTCTTCCCTGAGCTTCTTTGCTATTTACATTTCTTTTTTTCATTCCTTCAGCATATGCTGTTTTGCTGACTGCTCCTCTTCCTTTTCACTCTTGAGATGCTTTCCTGGTGCTCTTATTTTTGGTGCCCTGTACATGCTGCCACAACCAGTTTTCTTTTCCTACTGCTACCCAGGAAATTCTTTTCCAGCTAGTTGCTTTGGTCCTGGAGAGAGGCTCTTGTTTTCTCACTTCCTTTTATATAGCAGTGACCTGAGGCAGCTAAGCTGGTTTATTCTTGCTTAAAGGTATTCACAGCCTGAGTGTCCTAAATAACAGCTGGAAACAATGCAACCAGCCAGTTCTCTTTGGACTAACATTGGCCTATGAACCACATTTTGAGAACCACTGAATTGCATAATATATGAACAAAAAGGTCCAAAAGAGGCATAACTGATGGATTTTTTTTTGTTAGCCTTTGGGAAGAACATAGACAATTGTGTGTATAAGTGTGTGGCCTTTTGTGAGGGGAGAAGGACCGAAATTCTTTATAAAGGACTACTGTGTTATGAGAAACTGCCTATCATTTCAGGGTATTTAGCAGAGAACTGCAGGGATGTGTGTAAATATAGAAAAAAGGAGTTTAACATTATATAAATAGGAAAAAACCCAACTCTTGACACTGTATGTTAGGAAAAATAAATGGTCCACCCAGATCTGCTGGCAGATCAGTGCTACTTAGTCCAGCTTTTAAATTACTAGGAATTTGATTTTCATTTCCTCCATGGAGGTTCATCTCATGTCTTGTTTTGGGATGAGAAGTTTTTTCCATCGCCTATGGGGGTGGTTTCAAGGTATTCACTGAAATCATCTAGTCCAGACTCCTCAATTCATTGGATATGTGGTCATTTAATATGTGTTTTAGATCATACAAATACAGTTGTTGCTTCATGAAAGTGCTATATCATTATGGCATTTACTCTTTACCTTGCTGACTTGTGCCTCCATCCCCTTGTGCCATGGCTTGTTCCCCTCTTGCTTTTACCAGCACCCCTGGGTTGTACAGAGAAAAAATCAGATTGGAAAACTGATCTAGCTTCTTTCAGAAAACAAATATGTAAATTTTTTGGTGATGCTTGTTTCTTTTTTTTCCTTTTCTTTCTTCTGATTTTTTTTTTTCTTAAAGAAAAGATTGATTAGTATTCCAGTTTGGTATACCATGTTGCTGTGCTAAAGACTGTGCCAAAATAACAAGAGGTGGTGATGGGTACTGCTACTAAAAAAATATGTATCAGATGCCAGGCCTTTTTCCTTCTCAGCTGAAATAATTCCATAATTATGAGCTTTGTGATATGGACTAATTTTGTCTCCCCTTTCCTCAAATTTTCAAGTTCTAGAAGCACTAACTCTGAAATCAATATAATCCTGTCTACACTATCTTTCAATGAGTATGTTTCTCAGTTTGAGTATAGATACATAGGTTTCCACAAATTAGGCATCATGAAATCTTTGTGATTCTAGAGGACCTGAATAAACAATTATTTCATTGTTTCCTAATGCGTAGAATAAAGATGAGATAAAATTAGGTGCTGAAATGAGTTAAGGAATGTGCCCCTACCTGACATGCTTCTTTTGAACTTGCGCTTAAAATCTTATGCAATACACATTCTTTATTTGTAATTTTAATAAGTTACAAATGGAAGAAACTTTTCTAATTAGGTTGGTTTTGGTGTCTTGTATCAGCACCTTAAGAATGTTTCTGCTGTAATGATGTGCTTTTTTATTCTTTTACTTGATTTGTACTTCAGCCTTATAGTATTTTACATGTCTTTTCTTAATCTGTTGGTTTGTACAGAATCTATAATTGCCCATATCTCCGTTTTTTTCTCTTTTTTTGTACATCAATTTCAGAGTGCTTCCCAGATAATTTATCTCCTTGGCTGAGGTACAAAACCCAGCTGCCTCTCATTTGAAATAGCATCCCTACAGTGCAGAACAAAACCATGAACATCCCATTACCTGTAGGTTCATGAACAGAAAAATTTCTTGAAACAGGCTTTTGCCTTATCTTTCTGAATTTTTCTGCCTTTAAGAGAAAAGCAGTGCTTTCTTCTAGTTCAGCAGGGTTTTGTAATGTAATGTTCCTCCATCACCACTAGTATTGATGCAGGGGTAAAAATACCCTTTTCAAATGGGAAGTAAATGAGCTTTTATATTTCCTTCTTTTCATTTGCAGGAGGAAGCTGAAATACAAGCAGAACTTGAACGTTTGGAAAGAGTTAGGAATCTTCACATTAGAGAACTGAAAAGAATAAATAATGAAGATAATTCACAGTAAGAGTCTTAACTGTCTTAATTTTGCATGTCTGTTTTTAAAGTAATTCTCTAGTATCACATTTTTACCTATAGAAGAGAGACTTGTTCATTATTTCTTTTTGCATTTCTAAGTTTATATATGTATTTTAAACACCAGTTTATTTAACCTTAACTAAAATTTCTTAAATTTAGTACAGTTATTATTGTTTTTGTTGAATATGCAAGAAAAAAACATACCTACACAGCTTATAGTGAAGAGCTGAAACTTGCTAGACCATATTATTAAGTTAAAAAAAAACCACTTGTGAGATAACTTAATGCAGTTCACATAGTTGATAATAATGCAAGAGGTTTGATGCACCAGCAGCAATTTTCTGCTGCACTTAAAATTTGTTTTGTGTTTATAGCTCTGTGATTTATTTCCTACTAGGTATAGGTACCTAGCAGGAAAAAGCCATATTATGTTGTTACTTTGTACTTCACCTTGAATGGCAGTGTATCACAATGTTAAATTGCTACATAATATGAACTGTTACTGTGTAGTTTTGAAAGTAATAATTACACCACTTCATTAAGTCTGTTTTCCATCATGACAAATCCAGACACTGCAGTTTCACCAACACTTTCAGCTGGCACTGTTGCTTGAAGGGAACTGGTTCTGCCTCTCCCTGGCTACTTAGCTCTGTTTTCTTTCACATGCTTTCAGTGACATTTCTCTACTGAACCAATGCTGGAAATCAATCCAAATTAAAACCAGCTCCTGTGATGGATTAATTTTAATCCAGGATCAATTTTCTGGTCTAGATCTTTGCCCAGTCGCAAAAATACTTTTGCTGCCATGAGGAGAGAGGGCAGTGCAAGGCTGGAATGAGCCAGGGGGAAGGACAGGACTGGACTTCTCTTTCTGCACTAGGAAATATTTATGAAACAGTAGCCTTAAGCCTTCAGTATTTATTTTTTACTTTTTAGACACAATAGAATTGTGCTCACACTAAGGCTTTTAAATGTTAAAAAAAAAAGAGGTGTGAAAGTGTCCCTAACTGTTCTGATGGTACCTACCATGCAGTAGTACAGAAATTATTTGTCACCCTGTTGCTTTAGTGCTAATTGATAGCTAAACTGTTCTGTGTTTTGGGTATGAAGAATAATGGGTGTTGATACTTACATCTTGATGGCAGAGTATTTTCTTTTTTAAAAAATCCATATTTTAAAATAAAAGTAATTTTAAAATAAATGTCCTACAACAAATAAACAAGCAGGTTAAATGACAACCTATATAAATCTTCAGTGTTTGCATTAGAACAAGTTTAGTTGTTTTTTTAAAAATTATCCTTCAGCAATAAGGAATAAATGGCACAGAAAAATGACAGGCTTTGACTGAAAACACTGCATATGTGGGGCAGAGAATGTCCAAATTGCAGTCACAATTGAAAACAGTTACAGGAGAATGGACAAGCTTCAGTCCATGGTGCAGCTTCACTGCTCATCATCTGCAGTCAATGCCAACCCATTTTATGGTACAGAATGGAAAGCTTTAAACTGTGTGTTCATGTTTTTGTGGGAGTTTGGACAAGTGTTTACCAAGTGGCCAAGCCACAGCTTATAGTCCTCCTGTAGAAGAGAGAAGTAATGGAGAAATAATTTAGGTCTGTAGCCCCTGCTGTCTTTCCTAACATGTCTGGGTGATGTGGCTCTTTGGTAAGGGAGAGAGTTCTCAGCAAAGCAACTGCTGGCTTCTGACTCAAATCCTGTTGGGATTTCCACTTCAGCTGTGCTGTAAAGCTAAGCCCATTTTCTTCCTGTTCCAGCAACAAGTCCATCTACCCATGGATGAGCTTGTATGTCTACAATTGCCCTGGAATAATGGGACAAGTGGGGACTGCAGGTTAGGGCTGCCCTGGAATAATGGGACGAGTGGGGAGTGCAGGTAGGGCTGCCCTGGGATAATGGGACAAGTGGGGAGTGCAGGTAGGGCTGCCCTGTCTGGTTCTGGAGCCCACATGATGTTGGGGTGCAGGTTCTGAGCCATGGAGAGCCACAGAGTAGCACAAGCAGTGGAAAGGAAGGTGGTAAGATTCACAAGATTGGCCTACTGGAGGTACACATCTGCTAGCAAGATCATAAAAAAAGAATTGGGCTACTGGTCACATGACATCAAGTGCCTAATGATGCTGCTTCTAAATTTTTCTTCTACACTGAATGCGTTATTTACTGTTTATGGTTTCCTTAAAAATATTTAGCATTGAAGTATGTATCTTTCTAGTGAATAAAAAGGAATGTTTTATTTCTGAAAGGGGCACAGTAGGCCAGAACATCTTCTCTCAAATACTTGACTACCTATGACCATACTTCTAAAACTGTAGAGAATATGGAAGGATAGGATGAGCTGTTGGCAGACTGGCCCTAAATTCTTCTTTAAAGTTTTCTATGGAATATAACTGGCAACTTGCCTTAGATTCTTGACTTGTCTCATTGCTATACTAAGAATGTGATGAATATTCAGATCTCTTCCTCTGATTGGATGGAAGAATGTATTTTATCTTCTATATATTTTAGGAGAGAGAGTATGGTCCTTTTTCTTGGTCTGGCAGTATCATTTTATATTTGGAAGAAGTGTTTTCATTTTGCTTTTGCTTAAGTGTGAGCAGATAGTCAATTTTTTCATGTGTTTTCCCCATATTGCTGTTTTTGATTTGTTTTAACTTCTTAGTGTTATATAAAACCAATTTTTTTTACAAGGCAGTAATATGCATATCTAGTCATGTTTTGTGTGAAATTGGAAGAATGTCCTTGTTGTCTGTTCCAGAAAGTTGAAATGTGAGTCTTCTCTAAAATTTGGCACAACAAAGAGACCCATGTATCACATGTTTAAATTTAAGCAAGCTTTTCTTATCTTCAAAAAAAAAAACCAGAGAAAAATAACGAAATGTTTGCCAGGATTGATTGTTTTGATGATAGTGTTGTGTTAGTATGTGTAAACTAAATAGTCAAAAGGTATTGGTCATGTTGTACAGTTGTGTCATAAGGTTTCTTGTGGTGTAATATTGCTCAGCATATTATATGTTGTTTCTAAAAAGAAAACTTTATTTGATGAGTAATACTAAGAAATTTGCATTTTAGATGCTACTTGTTTACCTTAAACAGAATAAAACCATTTTTTTTTCTTTCAAGATTTAAAGATCACCCCACATTGAATGAGCGGTATTTGTTACTCCATTTACTTGGCCGAGGTGGCTTCAGTGAAGTGTACAAGGTAGGGTTTGTTGAGTCTGATAAATATCATTTTTGAGCTATATACATTTAATTTGGTGGGGGGACAAAATGGGATCTAAGTAGAAAGACTGTACTGGGTTGACCAGGCTTCGATTAACCTGTGGAGGAGAGGTAGCATGACAGTAGCCTTGTCAATAGATTTGTGAATTACATGCTATCTTTTTTCCTCACTTTACTGGGTGTTATTTTTATCACCTTTGGTTATAACTTTGCCATATTCATGCATTTCTTTTTTTAGGCTTTTGATCTTTATGAACAAAGATATGCTGCTGTGAAGATTCACCAGCTTAACAAAAGCTGGAGGGATGAAAAGAAAGAAAACTACCACAAGTAAATACTAATTACTTACACTTCATATGCTAAGCTTAATAGCATTTTGTTGATTGTAGAAGGCTAATGTATCCATCTTCTTTTAGACATGCCTGCAGAGAGTATAGAATACACAAAGAACTGGATCACCCCCGAATAGTTAAACTGTATGACTACTTCTCCCTGGATACAGATACGTAAGTAGAACTTGGCAGGGATTTTAGTGCTGTATATTAGATAAACAGAAATGAAGAGTATTTGAACAAAAATAACGTATGTTCTTGCTTTCAGCCAAAACATTTTAAAAAACCCCATACTAGTTGCAGAATTTTGTGTGCTAAATATTGCAGGCTTTCTGTAAGGTGATATAGAGAGTGTTTTGCAACACCTGACTGACATCAAAAGGCTGCCATACCTTGGACAATTTTCCAAGACTAAATGGCATCAGGAGCATTACTAGCCTAGGCATAGCCCCTGGTGACTGGGCTGTACCTCTTGGCATGAAATTGGGACATCTTAAGGGATAGTGAAAGCATATTGATTTTGAGAAGTGTGTCTACTACAAATAAAGAGGCTTTTCTTAATTTCTCATCCATATGCATGCATTTTCTCTTTTAGTATAAATGTTCTGATTTACATTAGTTTTCATGAGCTAATAGTTACACCATGTGTTCCATGAACAATTTCATTCATGTATTTTAATATTCAGGCAGCCATTCTTAAACTTGTCAGAATGAAACTAGGTTGTCATGACTGTTTCTGATTGTGCAGTATGATACATTCATTCATTTTGTGTCTCTAAATTCTACCCTAGGTTTTGCACGGTTTTAGAATACTGTGAAGGCAATGACTTGGATTTCTATCTCAAGCAACATAAACTGATGTCAGAGAAAGAAGCTAGGTCCATTGTAATGCAAATTGTAAATGCACTACGGTATCTCAATGAGATCAAGCCCCCTATTATACACTATGATCTTAAACCAGGTGAGTGAGAAATGTTATGATTGAAAATGTAATTTATTTTTTATCCTTTATTTTGTTTGTAATTCGTGCCTGAAAATGCCAGAGTTATCTTCTGTGTGTCAGGGTTATTGCAAACAACTGGAAAAAATATGCACTTTTCTTCAGAATTTCATTGCCAGAATCACCTGCCTTTTCTGTGAAAAATGTTTGTTACAACTGTTCTACTTTGCATTATTTTTATTTGAATTTGTAGGAAAAAAATCATATGGCTAATAGATACATGCATTGGTAGCTAGCAGTATAAACAGATAAGATTATTAGTAGGCTCAGTCCTGTCTGGTAATTGTGGGATGCTGATGTGTAATTAATTTTTCCCATATGTTTTTTTTAAACCTGTAAATATGTAATCACTCATTTTCAGGATCCCAGCATAACCATTCCAAAACAAGGCTTTACAGACAGTTTTCTCTACAATTAATAATAAATATATTTATAAACAATATTTGTCTTGATTCCATTGTCTTTGTTTCACCATCTTGCACGAATGATGCTTATATTCTTCATGTGCTTTAATCTGTTACACTTCCAAGTTTGGGGTTTGTAAAGTAATTCATAGTGCCAGGCTGTTTGCTTTCTGTTCTGTGATAAACTGCTCACACAGGTTTATTTTGTCTTATGAAATTGTACAGAATGTATTCTTAGTCTCATTATTTTTTGTTCTCAGAGGAACTTCATCAAATAATTATTATATCAAGAATTATTGTACAACTTTAACACATGGAGTAAGATTTGTAGGATTGCAGCAATTTCTTGGCACAATTTTGTGGCATATGCAAACAGTGAAAACTGTAGTGTAGGGTTCATTCTGGCAGAAAAATAATGAGACTTATTTGTAACTGGTATGTGACTGCATTCTGATATTTCCTCACTCCATTTTGGTGTTTATTTGCTGACCAACCAGCTTCCAGATGAGAGAGCCATTTCAGATCATCATGGTAACCTAGACAGTTGCTGAAATCGCACAGAAACTTACCATAGTCAAGTTACTCTAGACTTGAGGATGTAAAGATTATGTAAATGTGCCTCAGTTGGTTCAGGCATGATGCTAATAACACCAAGACTTTGGTCATGGGTTTGGTCATGGGTCCCTTTTAACCCAGGCTGTTTTGTGGTTCTGAGTCTTTGATTCTGTAAAATTGTCACTTACTCTCATGAAGTTATATGCTCTTGAAAATTGAACCTGGTTTTGAAAATAAAGCCTTCTGTTAGCTTTTGTTGAAGTAATTTTTCTTTTCCCCCTGAATAGGTAATATCCTTCTTGTAGATGGAACAGCATGTGGAGAAATAAAAATTACTGATTTTGGTCTGTCCAAAATAATGGATGATGATAGCTATGGGGTGGATGGAATGGATTTAACTTCACAGGGAGCAGGAACTTACTGGTAAGTCCTGGTTTGAATTTGCTGTTTAGACTTTGGATCATTGTTCAGATTTTATAAATGTAGTCTTATAAAGCAATTTGGAGAGACAACTAGGACTAAAAATGTTTACATGGCTGGCAGACAGAGGTGTTTGTGCAGTACTGTCCTGTTGATATTCCCAAATATGAAAAGACTCTAACTTAAAAAGTAAAATAAGAGAATGTGTGTGTATGTGTGTGTTACTTATAAGGTATGTATAAGTAAATGTGGAGATGATCACTGTGATTGAGAAACATGGTAACCTCTGAAGAGGCAGGTATTATTTCTTTGGCTGCTGGTGGTTGAAGACATTTTTGACAGAGACATTTGATGATTAAGTGTGGGTGCTTAGTACTTGGAAATTGTAGAACAGGTATTGCCAACAGGTAATGTCCTTAGGACAAAAGAGTATTCACTCTTCCTTCCTAAACATTAATGACAGCCCAGCAGCTGTGATTTACTTTTTGTGTACTTGCATGCTCATCCAAAACACTGGAGTTTTACAGCTGCCAAAGCATAGGTATGACAATAAGCATGTCATTGCTTACAGAAAATCTGGTTTTAGACTCTCTAAAGATGCAATTTCTTCATGGCAGAGTAGCTCTTTCAGCCTGGGTATGTGCTGGCTGTGTCAGTGGGTGGATTAGAAATCCTGTGCTGGACAGGTTGTTACAAGTCATTTGCTCTACAGAGAAGCCATTTGCTTTGCACCTCTTCCCATAGTCAGGAGTTGGATGTAATAATGTTTTTGCCTTTTCCTTCAGAGTTTTTAGAAAAGGAAACATACTATTCCTTAAATGCCACTGTGCACATGCTGTGAGAAAATGATTACTTTAGTTGAAGCATTTTAGAAGTGTTAGGCTTTTGCTACTCTTTTTAATACTTTACCTCTTTAAACACCAGTTTAAATGTTTTATTTTAGGAATATATATCAGAAAAATTTTGGCTTTTGGATTTAATCTAGAATGCCTCAGGCACTAGTGGTGCTGGAAACTTAGAAGTAAAAAAAGATCTGTAATCATTATAGATTCATGATGAGTCTCTGCATTTCTAATTCATGCTTTCTCTGAGCCCAGAATCTTCATTAGGGAGGGATTGCACAAACTGTCTGCCCTATAGCCCTGTAAGGGATTTCCTCAGTCACTGGGTTCGGTTACCTGCCTTCCCAGGCTGTTAGGTTATGTAATCTCTTGGTAAACTTCTAGATGTTTACATTAAATTTAGTTAGTGTTTTGTCCCCAGTAATCTGATTTGAAATGTCTTCTGTAACCTTAGTTCTCTGATCATTAGAAATCTAATCCTCTAATTTGCAGACTGTGTATATTTGTGGCCAGTTTATACTCGTTTGTTCCTGTGCTAACATTGTCCTCCCTCAAGTAGGTTGTGATCCCTTCCTAGTACTTGCACCTTGGTGTTTTTGTAGCCTTCACATTTTTTCCCTGTGAACTATAGTCTATCCATTCTTCAGATCATTTTAGTAACATTCTTTGCATTTGTATCACTTTAAGATCACTTGTCTTGATTGTTGTAATCAGAATTGTAAACAAGTATTCCAGAAGAGAGTTTGTGATACTGTTTAAAATTGTTGCATTTTTATCTCCCTTTTTCTGCTTATTTCTATTTCTACAAATATTTCTTCAAAGTTTCTCTTTAAGTCTTATATGTTGACAACAGAGTGCCTGTTCTGTAGTTGTCCTAATAGTTGTTTTGCATTTTTCAATTTTAAATATTACAGTCAGTAATAGTTGACTGCCCTTAAATTAATTCATATGGAAGGTTTTGTTTGTTTTTTAAAGAAAGTTCCATTTCATAAGTTATTCTGTAATTTAGGAATGGCATGGGAACTTCCTCAACTTTCATTAAGTTCTCTTTCTGCAAAATATAGGGACAGAAATAACAATCACCTTTGTCTATCATATACACCTCTGGGTAATGTTACCATTTTTACTAAAAACTTGGTTAAAGGATTTTTAAGCCATATTGATTCCTAACCAGGTCTTGCTGTAAAATGCCCTATTTGGCTTTCAGTTTTCTTGCTTTGATAGATGGCTTCATATTTAACCTGGAGTCACAATTTAAAAACAAATTATAATTGGCAGTTTATGTAAAAAATGTTAGTATTTGTGCTTGTGTTAAATAGACCTCTCTATCTGACTAACTGTATAGAAACTGTGATATCAGTTTTGGTGGGTTGCAAGGTGTTGGAGTGCAGATTGTAGGGCAGCTGTACAATTGCCAAAAGCTGAGAGATGTGTAGGTAAGGTGTTTGTACAGCTGGATAATTGAGCACATTCTAGAGATGCCAGCCTTACAGACTGAAATGCTGTTTTGTTTTCCAGGTACTTGCCTCCAGAGTGTTTTGTAGTTGGCAAAGAGCCACCAAAGATTTCTAATAAGGTTGATGTGTGGTCAGTTGGAGTAATCTTTTTCCAATGCCTTTATGGTAGAAAGGTAAGGAAATCTTTAGAAAATCTAAAGAGTTTTAGTGTAGATGCCTATTCTCACTAGACTGTAAAGACATAAATCTACATGGAAAATTACTTGTGTTACTTTTGGCAGTGTACATTGATTTTTCAAAATCTTGGAAAATGTTGCCTGTAACTTTTTTTATTTGCAAGATAGTTGGCAGTTTGTATACTGCAACAACTTACTATAGGATAAATATTTACCGTATCAAAGTAATTGGATAAATCTCCTGAAAAAAATCATGTGCTTGTTTTGCAGCCATTTGGCCACAATCAATCACAGCAAGATATCCTACAAGAAAATACAATATTAAAAGCCACAGAAGTTCAATTCCCTGTCAAACCTGTTGTAAGCAATGAAGCCAAGGTAACTTTTACTTTAGTCTCTGAGTAAAACATTCATCTTGAAGGATTCAGCTGTAAAATTGTTGTTAACCCAAGAATGCTGTAGGACATAATAACTGTGTAGAAGAACGTACTTGAGAGCCAGTATGTGGATGTTTTTATTTAAGCAATCTTATTCTGGGACTTCTCAAAATCATGTACTTCAAAGCAAAACTATATTTATATATTCCAGAAATTTGCAAGTGGTTTTTAAGTAGGCCACCTTAAAAATGGTCTGCTTTACTTTCTCTCAGAGGACCTTATGTGTCTCACTCAGGCTCTCTTACTAGAAGTTCTTGTGAAATGCTGCTGCTAACAGTAGCAACCTCTTTCTGAAAACAGTGGATGTTAATTCTCTGCAGCCTTATTGGCTAGGAAAGCTACTTGACTACCAGGTACCTGAAGGATATGGCCTCTAATACTCTTCCCTTTGAAAGGTTGTAGTGTGTGCGTATTAACTTCTGTCTGAGTTTAGAAACATGAATTTGAGATTAAGAATTTAGAAGATATTTTGATGCTGATTCAGGAAATAAGACTGCCAATATAGTTGCTCTGCCGCAAAGGTGTCAATTCCTCTACACTGACTGGCTATTCAGAAACAGAAAGGTGGTTTCCCAAATGATTACTACTGTGAGCATCTGTAACACAAATCCAGTTCCGTGAAAGTGGAAGAAAATATTGTGTTACTTGCTTGTAAAAACTCCCAATTTTTGCAAGATATATTCATGACCACATGAAATAGATGTGCTCTTTGAGGAAAAAAATGCCAAGATAGTAGAATGCTTATTTAAGTTTCAGCAACTAATTAAACGTACTTAGATTTGGGACACACCAAAAATTTAGGAATGTTAAGATTCAGCTTCTAAAGATTAAAAAGAAAAGAAACATATTACTACAGGCAGTAGCTTCCCAACAAAATAAGTATTTTGGGTGCATAAACTTGCTGTTACAAGTGGTGGTATATTTCTGTTAATTATATTTTCTAAAAGTAGTGTTAGTGAGAGAGTTGCAGTTAAAGTTATGAAAAACTGGTTGAAGAATTGTCGTTAGAATTGGGTTCTTTTTTTAATTGAGGTTTTTGTTTGCTGTTGGTTTTTCACTGGCATTTGAAAAGACTATCCCTTGAGTGCAGTTGACAAACACACATCATGTTACTGATAGCTTTACATAGTAAGAGTTTATATCTGTGTCTTTTAACTTTGCCTTTCTTTGTCATTAATAGCTATTATACAGAGGATCTTAGGAAAGAGGAGACAGTTCAGGATGGAGAATTGGCAACTTTTTGCATTCCCTGTGTATTTGCATGGTCTGTTTGTTTGAAAGACTAAAATAAACTTCCAGTATTCTCAACTCATATTAACCATTGTCATGATAGCTGTGAGAGAGAGGGAGAAATTATTCTCTGGTGGAAATGCTGTAAAACAATTTCAGACTAACTTCTTAATGTAGACCATTTACAATGACTATGTAGAATCCAAATTGTTTTTCAGATTTATAGGCCTGGCAGTTGGAAAAGAACAGCTTGTAAACTGAAATTCTGATTTGGAAAACAGACAGATTAAATAAATATGGAACCTCAAATGACATTGTTAGTTAGTTTCCAGACTGTAACTGTCCTTTGATCCTCCTCACTGTTTCCTGTTTTGTGCAGTGGTCTCCTTTGCTTCACACTAGTGTGGCTGCAGTGCCACAAAACTGTGAAGTATTTTAAAAACATTTCAGACACAAACTGTTACTCTGAGGATCTTGAGAATAACTGTTTACAGCTCATTTGTTTTGAAGGATTTACTGTGAAGAATTGATTAAAATCTGTAATATCCAAGAACATGTGAATATCTACTAACAGATGTGCATGATTTTTATGTTGTACCTTTTTCATGCTGGATATGCAAATGTTAGAAGTAAATTCTAGCATGATTCTTTGAAACTTGTATCACAGATTTTCTCCTTTAATCTCCAGATTTTAATTGGAGCAAAGAACAAACAGCTGAACAGATTTATCAAAGAAGACATATGTAATTCTTTTAAATTAAGTTCTAAATTAAGTAATGATGTGCTAATCAGTTCTGTAGCAATAATAAGGATTTTCTATCATTAAATGTTGAAGCCCAGGCTCTCAGGAGACCAAATGTTCTGTGTGTGCTAGACATAAAACTTGACAGAAACTTTTAGCATAAAATGATTGGCATAGGTCATATGGACTTAGATGTAGGGATGACATAGTGAATTTAGCTACAGAGTTTTTCAATTGATTAGTTAATTTTAAGCAGGTGTGATTGAGTTTTTCATGGGAAGAGAGTTTCAGCAAGGTAGTGGTTTCCTAAATATTCTTTACATAATGCCTATTGAGCATGGCAACCATCAGTGTCAGTTTCATGTTTTGCTATACCCTGTCATGGCACATGTGGAAATGCTTGTTTTCAAAAGTCAGCTAAAGCACTGAAATTCTGTCTCTGCATCATCCACCTATTCTTCCCCACTCAGTGGTTTTAGAAGCTCATTGGAGAAAGTAGAAAGGTCTCCTTTTTCAATCCTCTGGCACTTGGTTTTTATTCATCTGTTCAGGCATAAAACATGCAAAAATCTAATTGGGTGAGGTGCTAATGTTTTACTTGTAAATATAGTTCCTAAATATGGAAATAATTATTTGAAGTGTAATTATTTGAAGCCAATTAATTTGCTGATTTTTTCTTTCAGCCATGATGTTCTATTTCTTCAGCGGGTTCAGCAGCAAAATGTTACATTGTCACTTGAATTGAGTGATTTAAGAAAAAGAATTTGTTTAGAAGTTAGTTTATCCAGGAGGACTTGCCTATTTGCCTCAAAGCAAATAGAAGTATTTGGAATGTTGCTGTAACTTTCTACATTTCTTTTCTAGGCCTTTATCAGACGCTGTTTAGCATACCGAAAAGAGGACAGATTTGATGTCCACCAGCTGGCCAATGATCCTTATCTTCTCCCTCATATGAGGAGATCAAATTCTTCAGGAAACTTGCATATGACTGGCCTAGCAGCATCCCCTACACCACCTACTTCAAGCATTATTTCGTACTGAAATTTCTCCAGCTGAGGAATGGGATGATAACCTTTGTTTAGTTTTCAGATGCAGACTTGAGCTTGAAAGCATTTGAGTGTTTTTACACAGGACAAGTTTGATAACTGTGTTTTCAGACTGAAGTCCTCCTACATAGTGTCATTTGTATGATTGGAGTGGATCATGGACTGTGAATAAATGTGCCCTTCTGAGAAACACCGTTAAACATTGAAGGATGAAGGATGACACTTCCTGTTACAAACTAACAGGTATACTGTGTTTAAGACTGAAGAAAAGGTTTTTAGTTTTTTTCTGGGGAACATTGTAAATAATCTTTTTAATACTTTAAAGTACATTTGGTGGATACTGGAAAGTTCTAACATGAAGGGTAGTTTTTCATTATTTAAATAAAAAAGGGTAGTGAGCAAATTTGAAAACACAGGAAAAAATTTGTGCCTGGTTATGAAGTAAATGAACTGCCATCTTTCCAAGACATTGATCTTTCAAAACCAAAGTAAGGAATGTGAGATGGTGAAAGATAATGTTTAACATCAGATTTTTCAAATAAAATTAGAGTATTTTGTTTGGCTACTCAGGCTTGTACCTCCAAAAATGTTGTGGTGTTCCACTGAATTTAGATTGGAAGGGTGATATGGAATTCCTGGTACTTACTTCTCAAATAGATTGCTAATTTTGAAATCCATTCGGTTTTTTTTAAATACTATACTTGCTGTGGTATTGAAACTTGAGAAACCTTCCAGGCTTCTAATAAAAGCAAGCAACAGTATGAAACCAAATGCAAACAGGTCATGTATAATGTTCTATGCAGGAATAATGATAAATTCCCTTCTAGCTCTACTGTAAATTGTTGTACAGATGTCACATTTTCAGTTAAATTTCAGCAACTTATTCCTGTACAAATGTTTAAAGTATGGCTTTTTCTAATTGGATATTGTATTTTTTTTAAGTCTCCCTCAAGGCGCTTTTAATTGCTGCTAAATGACGTTGCTTTTACTTTTACAAGAGTCAAATGACCTCCTTCAGGTGCGAGTCAACTGTATGAGAGATGGAGCAGAGGCAATCGTTATCAATCAAGGCATGTACAGCGATCTGTGTTGGCAATTTACAGTACAGTTCCTTCAGTCCGTTCGCTGCGTTCTCCTCCTGCAGAGCGCATCAATAATAGGTGTAGAAGTTGCTCATGGTTATTCTCTATTTCTGGAAGTTCCTATCAACAAGGAAATGTTTCTTGTGGCTTGTACAGATATTTTAAAATGTGAAACATTTTCTAACTGCCTTGTATGGTAGAAACTTATTTTTCAGAACAGTGTATCTCTCTCCTGTTCACTATTCTTTTTACTATCCCATTCTTGATGCTGAATACCTATATGTAATTTTGTCCATGTTGCAGAAAGAGGAGGCTGTATTACCACAGGTTTTCATTTAGTATTGTACAGTTAAACTGTTGCTCTTGTTTCTGATGTTGCAAGCCATTTTGTTTTCATTGTATATAAAGAAATGTTAACTGTCTCTTTAAAATGCTGCTGAAATTGTAGAGAATGTAGCCAAAACAGTAATAAACAACAGGCAGTTGAAATTTCAAGGTTTTCATTGTGTGCTTTTACATTTCAGCATAGTGCAAATCACATAACCATATCAGTGAGCAACACAAAAATACTTAAATCAAACTCTTCTTAATTACAAACAAAAGGGCAATAATACAATAATTAATTTAAGTAACATTGGAGGTGAAAGGGGAAGATTCATGAAACTTAAAACATCTGTCATGATGAGGTAATCAAAATTTCATTTGATTGAATGGACTGCGCAGTTACAACTTGTAAGTATTTCAGTGGTTCTTTTTAAAATATTGAGCTGAGGGATAACATTAGCTCATAGAGCATTAGATTCAAACAGAATACCGCGACTCCATCCTTTCCACTCTCTACAGCACAAGGCTGAGTGCAGAGTTCAAGGAAAATGTGCTGTAGCTGTAAGTTCACGTTAAATTTCATTCCTTTTATTATGCCTGTTGGTAACTGAAATAGAATTGGATTCTATTGTGAAAATACGTTGGATAGTAGAAGCTATGTTTTTATTTTGTGAAGGCTGGTCAATATTTTGACTTTCTGAGAAGTGCTTTTGAGGCTCGCTGGAAGTTGGGAAATGCACGGTGGCAGTGCGGGCGCCGGAACAGCGCGGCCCGGGGAGCTCCGCGCCGCTGCCACCCGAGTGGCAGCCTGAGCAGGTGACTGCGTGTTTTAACATCAGCAACCCCGAAAAGGAAAGCACGTTTTGGTATTTAAAGCATCCTACGTGTTCGTGCTCCAGCTTTGATGTCCTCCGGATTGTAGGAAAACCACAGGTCTGAGGCGGGGCCACCAGCCTGGCCAGGCAGGACACCAGGACAGGGCACATCCAGCCTGGGGAGGGAATGCG